CGATCTTCTGTTGTATTTCAACATCAAAAGATTTGTATAAAACTCGAAGATATCTCTTTTTTGTTAAAGAATTATTTGTTTTTTAGTTTCTTCTAATCTGAACAGAATCATATTCGTGTATTTTAGGCAATGAAAACCTATGAATTTGGTTCTCTGAAGACTCCGTATTGAAGAATTTTATTTTGCTATAATATACAGGCTATCCAGAAAGTCATCTATCAAAAATAAATTTCTATCTTACCACTATATTTTAACCAAATGAGCTAATTTTTTTGTCTAATGATAAAAGCAAGTTCCAAGTTTTGTTTTTTTCATAAGAAAAAAGTTTATTAAAGTGGCTTAAGACGATTATTATCTAGTTAGAAGAGGAAAAGACAACTATAAGTTTTTCACTAAAGAATGTGATATATGTAAGCTTGTAGAATAAGTCTATATATATATCCCATTCTGTAGTCAGAACTTTACAGGCGCTATTGGAGTTTCTATCAAAGATACACAACAGATTTTTCGGTTTCTGTAATATGATTCGAATTTCTTATGTACTTAAATTTTCTCAATTTGTGAAATAGTTTATTTGTGATAGTTGAGTTTTTGCTTAGCCGATCAAGTTTCTTTGATGCATCACAGGATTCTTTCCAATGGTTTTATACAGAAAAATTGCTCAAGAAGTCTGAGGAACTTCAGTTAACTTTTGATAGGTTGTGTCCATGAAGAGAAATAAACGTTGTTGAGTGATTTTTAATAGTCATTGTAAATTAAAGAATAAGAATTTGAACTTTTTCAATGGTATATCTCACAACTTAATGATATGAAAGTTTATGAAATATGTATTTTTCAAAAATTGTTAATATTATGATCATTTCGAAAATCTTCTTGTCTTTCGAATGTATAAGCTTTAGAACTGGGAAAATAGAAATTCCAAAATTTTATCAAATATATAATCAAACTTGTTGGAAATATTGTGAAGAAGAATATCGATGAAAAATTATTGTTTGATATACAATTATTTATATATTAAAAGTATAATCTCTAAACAGATCAATTTGTTTTATTCCTATGTTTTATCTATAACGTGAAACGAAACTCATAATTTGAAAGTCAACCAGTCGGTACACTTAATTATTTCTAATAGTTCATCAATTATGAACAAATACATAGAGTTATTCATTTCTTTTTCTATTTTTGATAATACTTAACTAGTATAATGGTAGTATTTGATCAATATCATAGAATTATGGCAAAATAAAGATTGTAAAAATGTGATACTCAATCAAATAAAATTATAGATTTTTATTCTTTCGAATTTTCGAGAGAGAAAAAAAAGTATAAGTCTACCGAGAGAGGTCCCTTAACTAATTAATCGTTTTTAAGTTGAAACTATGTGCATCATGTAGACATTAATAGGTTATAAATACCTTGAAAAAAGCTTGAATCCATAACTTATTGCTGTTGACATACCACATTTTTTACGGTATATTTCAATACAATGCAGAACACCAGAAAAAATAATTTTCGAATTTCAACTTGGAACTTTGCATAGGAACAAGCCTTGACGAGAATATTTAGTCGTGAAAGTATCAGACCATTTTATCTATTCCTATCTTGAAATAAGAGCAACAAATCTGCGGGTGTATACGACTAAAGTAAAAGACGTGCTTTTATCATGGTTGTATCTTGGGATAAGAACAACGAAAATATCGGAAACTTTTACAATAAACTATTCTCCTCAAGGCTTATTTCTATGGAAAGTTTCTAGCCGAAATTCAAAACAAACAGTTTTTCTGATGCCGCATTGTATTGAAAAATATTGTAAAAATGCAATATATCAGTAGCAATAATCTATGTATTCGAACTCTTTTCGGAGTATTCCTAATCCGTTAGGATCTGTATGATGCATACAGTTTCATCTTAAGAGTGATTAATCAATTAGAAGAATTCCCTCGTAAGACGAATGATAATAAAGAAAACAATCATCAAAAAACTTCTATGATAGATCGGTGGTTGGTTTGTTTTTATATCTAAAAACAGCAATTCAAATGTTATAAATTGAATAAGTCAACATCTGAAAAACTGATAAGGGAACCTTCCCAGGTAACAAAAAGCTTTTGAGTTGAAATTTCGTCCACAAATAGGGGATGCATAGGCTAGAGAAAGCTTCAGAAGATATGGAGATTCAGAAAATGTACTTGATTTGTCTGTCAAACAGTTTCATTTTGTCAAATATCGATTTTCTCGGTGATATCATGCTTCACAAGCTAATTTTTTGGCAACTGGTTTTTCAATTTCTTCCAGGGTTGTAACAAAGTTATTTATATCATTAGCTCGACTATATTTCGAAATATGTTTCCCTATGTTCAAACCTTGACAAGTACGATTTTTATTTTTAGGAAAAATGTCTGCTTAGATGCACTCTATTGGGAAGGGAAGAGTTTTAATACATTAATTTTCTATTGTTAAAAAATATTTCATAAAATAGAACTCTCTCTCTCTTTTTTTTTTATTTGCTTTCTTCATCATACAATAGATCGACAGATGTTTTAATAAAACATGATAGGCAAAACAAACTTTCTTTTATAAACATGTTGTTCACTTTTCATCGAAGAAAACAAAAAATAGAACGAGTATTCCTAATTCCAGCGGAGATTTTAAATATTCATGTTTCTTTTTTAATATCTCAGAGAAACAGTGAGCAAATAAGTTCAAATTTAACAATTGAATAGGCATATGACTTATCTACCGATTGATAAAAAAACTTTTTTTAAAAACTAACATAAATCATTCACTTATGAGTGGTAAAATAAAGTTGATTGATGACGCTTTAATAAAGTGCAATGTTTCCCATTAAGAGAATCAATGTAAATGTTGTCCCAAATTAGAGTGCACCATTATAAATACATAGAAAAACGTTTTTCCATGCACTTATACTGGTGTACTCTAATTTGAGGCAACTTTTACATTGATGCTCTTATTGGGGAATATTGCACTTTATTAGATCGTCATCAATCGACTTCATTTTACCACTCATAACTGAGTGACTTTTTTAGCTTTTGAAAAAATTTTTTTATCAATCTGTAGATAAGACATATACCTATTCAATTGTTAAATTTGAACTCATTTGTTTACTGTTTCTCTGAAATATTAAAGAACAAACATGAATATTTAAAATCTCCGCTACAATTAGGGGAACACCCGCTATAAAATTGTAAACTAGAAGAGTTTTATGTCCGATATGTTTTCTTTTTTTCGTGAATATAAAATTGTCTGAAGAAGAATGAGAAAAATAAAATAGTACATATCTATATAAATATTTCAAATAAGTATGACAATTGTCTATAAATATGATTTGTATTATTAATATTGTGTTGACAACCAGAAAAATAAAACTAACTAACAGATGGAGAGAGAAAATGACGGAAGTAAAAAGTCCAGTAACTAGAATTTTCTAGATTTTTATGTGAATCAATAATTGGAGTTTATTTTGAAAACAAACGAGAATGAAAGAGTATATATTAATATAACTATCTTAGTCTTTTTTTTTTTTCATTTCAAATAAGAAACTTTCTTCAACATTTATTTAACAAAATTTCTTGTTTTCTATCGATCATAATATTATTCATATGCATCATTTATCCAGTCATAGTATGATCACTCTTGGTATTTTCTACATATTATTAATTGTTGTCACTCCAGGAAATGCAGATGATACTTCAACGGATTTAAGTGTTACAGTTGAAAGTGTAACAAGTAGTAATTCAACAGTTAGATCAACTGGTAGCAGTATTCAAAAACAATCAATTATTATACCTTTTTCAATAATAAAAATTGCTTTTCTAGCATTAAAATACATTAATTAAATAATAATATACAAAAAAAAAAATCCAATGAAATGAATGAATATAGAAATATTTATTGTCGATTTTTTTTTTTTGTTGTACTATTCAGTTTATTTTCATATGTAATATATTTTGTTTTATTTTTTTCATTTATGTGATGATTATGTTTACTCTATAATAAGATAAAAATAAACTCGACATAGTTATATGCACTCACTTTGAACTTTATACAAAAAACGTAATAAATATCAGTACAGATTTTTTTGTCCTAGATTGACTCGTGATGTCAGAGTAGCAACAAATTACGAAGTAAAATCATAACGATGATGTCATTCATCGATATATTCATAATGAAGATCTTGAACAATATTTAAAATTTTAAGATGCACAAATCAAAATTTTTTTTTAACGTATTATTTTTTTGTGACTTACATCAATGTTTGTATTAATATACGTCATATACCGATTATAGAACGACAAATACAAAGGTTGTTAGATAAACAAAAAAATAGAAAGAACAAATTTCAATACATATGTATAAATCTTTTTCTTTTTTTTTTCTAATATCATATTCTTAGTCTCTCTTTCTGTATTGTATAAGAGATCATTTCTTTTCTATACGAAGATAGATTTAATTTTCATTAAAATATATTGTAATATTTTTTTTTTTTTTTTATGAAACAAGTTAGATACACAGCATACATACAAATAAGATATGCTGTTCGACGAGGACAAATATAAGATACCTGAATGATAATAAAAACAAAGCAGCTGTCAATTATTTATTTCATATTGTATATCCGAACAAATTGAAGACTATACACCTATAAAGACAAAAATAACTCATAAATACGTCATAGCATTCTATTTTTAAAAAAAAAACATATGAATCAAAACAAATACAGTTATGGCTGTATTCAATCACGATATAGTATATATTAGAGGATGATCAAGCATATATTCTTGTATTATTTTTTATTTCTATCTGTTATAAAGGTTTGAAATAACTGAAATCGCTTATATATCAACTTTATCAAACTATGATAAATCTTTTTCGATTAGATAACACACAATGTATATAACAATAAACTTATCACTATTTCTTGAACATCAATTAACTTTCAAAAAATATTTAACAATTCGATATATCTTTTCTAGATAAAACAAATGTCACGTGAATTCATTATGGGTTTTTTTATTGTCATTTTGGTTCTATTAGTTTCACAAATAGAAGCACAAGACACCAATACAGACAGTACATCTCCAGTGGTCGATCAAGATACGATGATAACTGAAACAGAATCTTCGCCAACAGACGCAGAAACTTTGCCAACAGGCTCAGAAACTTTGCCAACAGACGCAGCAACTTTACCAACAGACGCAGCAACTTTGCCAACAGACGCAGCAACTTTGCCAACAGACGCAGTAACTTTGCCAACAGGCTCAACACCGATGATTAGTATCTCAACATACTCAACACCCATGACTACCATGTCAACAAGCTCACCCAATAATCGTGGTGTTACTTTAAATTCATGTAACTTTCTTTTAATTCTTTTTAGTGCTTTACTTTTATTTGTATAAATATTTTTTCATTTAACATTCATGTTTTTTTTTTTTGTACATAAAAATTCAGAATTCTAAATATACAAATAGTTAGACGACAAAAATAAATATACCGGCTGTAGTGAAAGTTTTTTTTTTTACATTTTTTGGTTTTGTATTATTGTAGAAGGCTGATTTTTATTCAGAAATTGTACTATGTCATGCTTGATCAGAATTACAAAACGAAATTTTATTAAATTATTAAAAGTGAACATATCATCTGTCTTTCGACTGCCTATTATAAAAAATTTCAGATATAGTTTCAATAGTCTTACATAGAAAATATTAATGAAGATTCATTCATTGTGGAGAGTAACATTTCAAATAAAGTGACAATATAGTGAGTCTTCTAAAATTTTGTTTTGTACAAAGTTTGAAGTCGAAAGTTACGTAGCTCGAGGTAGACCGATCACACTTCATCTAGTAAAATTTTGATATCTCAAAAATGAAGACCTGGAAAACCAAATCATTTACTAGTACTCATCAAATAAACATCAGCTTAGTCGAAAAACAATTTCACATCTGAAGAAGTTTTTTCGTAAGTTGTCAATATTTAAAATTTATCATTTTTGAATTTTTTCACATTCCTTATAATGGAAATAACAAAAATATTCCATTTCGTAAGTCTGATCGAGGATGAAAAGATACAATCTTTGAAAACAAAAAAGGAACTTTCTATCATATTCCTGAATAGAGATACAAGCAAAAATATCGTCAAAATTTTTGTTACATTCAACATACATACATAAAATACTACTACCACACATGTAGGAAATCTTGTTATCTGATTAAGAAAAAAAAAAATATATGTTCCTGAGAAAAAATTATCATTGTTATTGCTCATTGGTTAAATATATCATAAATGCATTCGTCATAGAATGAATAATTGCGATTGTTTTGTTAATGAAAAATAAAAATATACCATTGGCATAATGTGTTATTCATTAAAAATTATCATCATCAGATATTAAAAAAAATTCTTCATCTGTTCGATTATCACTATCATATGAATAAAAATTGAATTTATTTTCAGGTTTTAATACTGTTAAAAAAGATTCATTGTCTTCTAAAATATATAAAATACAAAAATTAATGAAATTTAAATCTATTGATTTTCTTTTTTTTTTGACCTGTATTTAATTGTTGAACAAGTGATGACATAGCTGAAGTTAATGAATCAGCTGCAAGAAGAAGATCAGTTTGTACTAAAATAAAATAAAAAATAAAAAATAAAAAAAAAATAAAAAATGATTAATCATACAATGATTTGTTAAACGTTTATGAATTGGTGTTGATGGTGTTGAATAACTTTGAAATGAATTTTTTTTAAAATTTATTATATGAGAATTTATACATGATGGTGATATATTTAAACGATCATGTGAATTAAATATTGTTGATTGTTGTTGTAAATTATGTGAATTTCGACTGAGATTATGTAATTGTGATGTTAATTCTTCTCGACTTTGTTGTAATTGATAAATACGAGATTCTAATTGATGTTTACGTTTTAATAATGTTTGTAATTCATGTTCGAAATATGAATTTTTATTTGTTGTTTCAACTGAACCAGCACGTCTTATATAATGAATAGGATTCGATTTATATTGAATATTTGAATATTGATTAGGTAATGTTTGAATATAATGTTTTTCTATTTTAGAAGATACATCTGTATCACTATATGCATGATCATCATTAGTATTCATATGATTTAGAGATCGTTGTTTAAGTTTTGAACGTAATGTATTTATTTCATGACTAATACGTCTAAATTACAAAAACAATCTATGAGAAGATAATTGAATTTTTCTAATTGAAAAGTATTTTCAATCGGAAATTTTCCGTTGGCTTTATTAATAAAAAAAACATCATCTAGTTCGTAATTGAAACTAGAATGAGTAATATTTTTTTGCTAAAATCCTATCACGAAATATTGTGTGATTAAGAGTTATTATCGATTTTTTTTTCTTCATTTCTATTGAACTACTGAATATTAACATTCTGAACTGTTTTATCAATATTCTTTAACTTAGCAAATATAAATAGAAATGTAACCCGATGAATTTAAAAAATTTTATAATTTCGAAAACGATGGTAAAGAATTTATTGATAAAGAATCAGACAGTAATATCTTCAAAACTGATTTTGAATGTCGGAAATATTTAAAAATCAAATATCTATTTTTGTTTCGTGACGGTGATTTATACCTCTAGACACAAACTAGAATACCATTCTATTTTGAATATTCATAACTCATTAGAATCTATATGATGCATATAATGTAAACTTTCAAGTGAATGAATAAGTTAGTTTAATGACGCTCAAAATTAATCATACAACATATTACAATTAAAAATCTTGTATTTCATTCTTTTAAACGATGAATTGCATGTTTTAATTAAAAGACGAATGAAACTTTATTAAAACATTTTTCAAATGTATCTTTTCGTTGAAAATAATGAAATGTGAGATACAATAGTCAGTCGTTTTTAGTATTTCTGAACTGACATCGTATATGTATAACATAGTGAGCTGATATATTAAGTAGAAAAACTATGAAAACAGGATTATATTGTGGGCATAAATTGCAAATGTTAAAATCATCTTGAAAGAAACAAGATGATCGATTAGGTCAATTTTGAGTGTCACGATATGTTCTCTATGAAGGTTGAGCTTTCTCTTACACAAAAAAGAGATTTCCTGAAGCCGCCAAGATTGGGAAGGTCATCCCTTGTTCAAGATTCAGCTCCTTCCACCTTCAAAAATAATCGGAAATCTTAATTTCGAGGATGATATTATCGAAAAACAAAAAGATATTTGTTTTGTTTTAAGATATTAAATTTTACTCTTTTCTTTTACCTATTTTCTGCTTCAAGTTTAGCAATCATAAGTTTTTTTTCTTCACTTTGATGTTTAGTATATCTTCTTCGAGAATGATGTTGATTGAAAGAAGATTTTATTTGTGATTGAATTTCAATTGGATTTAAATTTTGTTTTTCATCAATTAATTCAAATTGTTTTGTATATAAAGCTATTTGTTTATGTTCATCATTATCGATTTTATTCGAAATATTTTTATCTTTATTTATTATTAATTTTGATTTATTATTTCTAATAAAATTTTCTTCTGATAATTGTTGTTTATTATCAATTGTTAATGAATTTAAACGTTGATTATGTTTTTCATTTCTAGGCATACATTGTAAAGATCTTTAAACGAAAAAAAAAAAAAAATGAAAATATGTACAAAAAAAAAAAAATTTTTTTCTATTATTTTCAAATTACTTTCGAATTGAATATCGAATATCTTTATTTGGTGATATAAAATATGTATATTCTTTCATTTCATGTGTTGATAAATGTTGATCTGATGTTCTTCCACGCCAAAAACAATCTTGACATAATTGATATGTTCGATTATGACATTGTTGACATTTATAACGAAAACCAGAAAATGATGGACGTTGACATGCTGAACATTTTACACGATGAATAACTTAAAAAGAAAATGAAATGTAAGGTTTGTCTTTTTTTTTTAATTTTCTGCTCAGTTCGCTTTTTTTCAACAGATAGTTGAAATTCAGTTCAAAATGTAGTAGAAAATAAAACATCATTGCAGAATAGAGGAGAAAAAAAGAAAAAACTTACCATTTTCAACACTTATTAAACGATGAAATAGAACAAGCCATTGTAAACAAATGGGTGTTCTATTACTATAGATTAATAGATCAAGAAAACCATCAAGAGTAATTGGTGATGATAAATGTGAAAATATTGATCGAGCAGAGTTTTTATTATATGTTGAATATGAAATTTCTTGTAAAGCATATGGTAATGCAAGAATTTCATGTAAAAGTTCATCTACTTGATTATATGTTAATGTATTTAATATTGATGATGATGATGATGTTGATAGACTACATGTAAATAAATGACGCATTTTATCAATTAATTTACCAGTACATAAAAGTATCAGTACTACACGAAATGAATTAAAACGTATTGATAATTGATCACAATTATAAACATATAAAAACCAAGCTATAGCTGAATGAACACATTTATCTATATGAAGAATTTGTCGTGATAATGGTAAACGTTTATTTAAATTTGTATAAATTGATGTAAGAAATATTGTTAAATGATTTATTGAAAGAAATTGATTATTATTTACTAAATGAGAATGAATTTGTTTTGATATACAAGAATTTATAGTATTTAAATTAGATTGACAAGATAAACTTGTCAAACATTCTCGAAGAGATTCAATTACATTTAATAAATCGAGAAGATGAACTAGAATAAAAATTTTAAAAAAATCAATGTATATATATGCATAAAAGATTTTATATCATTGTCGAATTTAAATAGATTAACTTACAATTAAGTTTCTTTTGAATAAAACGTAATTTACATGCTATTCGATATGTTGAAAATCGAATAATATCAAAATTTTGAGCACCTATTAATAAACAATTTTCTAAATTAATTAAATAACAATTAGGAAAACATACGAAGCTCCATTTGTAATTGTTGTAATTCATTACTGAAGTTTGTATTCATATTTCACATTCAATATAAATATATGAAAAGCAAATTTATGTGATTCCTAATCCAAGAGAAGCAAATGGTTATTACGAATAAATGAAAGAACAAGAAAAAAAAAATACCTAACTTACTCTCAAAAGAAAGCAAATATATCGATTGGTTATTGAAACTGTTAATTATGTTGTTCAGCTATGCGAAGAAGATGGCGCTCGATGTTATCAAATGAAAGGAATTTAGATACAATTTAATAAAGATTTATCTTTCTTCGCTTCAACAATACAACTGTTAGTTGATCAAATATTCTATATGTACAATTGATAGGGGAGAAAAAAAAACTCTAGATGAATTTATTCTGTGATAAGTTCTACGAATTATTTGCGTTTCGTTTTCTTATTTGAAATGATTTTATTTTAATGTATTTCTATTACTATGTAATCTATTGTACAAGATAAATATAGATTTGAAAGTGATTGATTTTTATTTGATTTATAAAATTTCATTAGACAAAGTAGAAATTTTTATATGATACGATTAGTTAAATTAATAACAGCTTACTTTAAGTGAATAATGCTTTTTTTTTGAAGTTTTATTCCCAAGAGTCAAACCTTGGGATTCTTTGAAAAGAAAGTATAAGAAAAAATTTTGTTATATCTCTATTGTTCAAAATATAGCCGATTACTTTGATCTAATAAGGGAAGTCCTTCAACTGATTAATCATTTTTAAGTTCAGACTATATGCATTATATAGACTCAAATGAGCTACGAATATCTAAAAAGGAGTTCGTGCCCTTAGATTATTACTATTGAGATATTGCACTTCTATGGTATATTTTTTTAAATGAATTTCATGGTCCAGAAAAACTGATTTTCGAATTCTATACTGGAACAAAAACATCGAATCTGCTGTTTTATATGAACGCTGTAACAGACACTATGATCACAGTAGTATTTTAAAATAGGAATAGCGACAAGATCTGAAACATACAGGAAAATCAGTTTTTCTAAACTACCACATTGGTTTAAAATATATTGTAATAGTTTAGTATCTCTGCAGCAATGAGCTAATGACACGAATTCCAATTAAGATATTCATGACTCATTTGGATCTACATAATGTATATAGTCTCGACTCAAAAGCGATTTATCAGTTGAAGAACTTCCTTCGTAAGTTGATTGTACATACTAAGATTTATTGATTTATTTTGGTAAATCTTGAATTGTGTGAAGAAATATTTTGAAAGAGTCAAATAAAAAAAGAAAATAATAATAACAATGAGTATTTGTAACAGAAACAAATTCTAATTATGATTACTGCTCAAAGTCAATATACTTTCACGTACAACGAAGATAATTCTAGTACAATCATTTCTAGAATAGGCATATTCACATTGTTTTTTTTTTCAATGTATTTTATTAGTAGACAATACGATAAAAGATATTGAAATTAGTAAATTCGATTCCTTCTTTCATTGAATAAAAATCTCATTTTAATCAAGAGAATAGATTGAATGAGAACAAGTTGCAAGCCAAATAGAATGTCTCCGAAGTTCTGAAACGAAATTCAAAATTCATCGTTGTTGCATTCAATAAAATCAAACTCTTTGTAACTTTAGCAGATTATTATACCTAATTAGTGCTAAATAAATACAAAGTTTCAGATCTATACATATTACTATGGATGAGAAATTGTAACAATGATAGCATATATCTTTCTATCAATTTTCCAATGATAGGAACTCATCAAATCATAAGATGATGATTAGTGTACGAGAAACGACAAGAATAATATTAAACAATTGAAAATCAAGAATAAAAAGAAATGAATGATAAATATAAAATATCAGCATCATTAAAATTATTAATCGATTATGATGGCAATCAAATTTATGAAGATTGAAAAAATAGTACATCATAATGGTGTTATTATTTCTTATCTATAGTAAAAACTATAGACTTGAAATTTTACATTTATTTAGTACTAAGTAGATATAATAATATAATATGTTGTTCTTAATTGTTCTCAGTACGTCCATCATATCCCAACTATTGAAACATTGTCGAATCACTAATAAATATACTACTGGAAAATTGTATGGTACTTTTATTTTAAGCACCCATCCGCCTCTGTGAAAATCTATTTTCATCACAAAACAATTGATCTAGCTAAAAATTTTAGAAAATATGGGTCAGGATCTTGAAAACTTACGGTAAATATCTCAGTTCAAACTATTGAATTCTTCAAGAGTTATTTTTATATTAACGGTCAAAAAGTAGATCTCCGTATGTTCCAGATTTTCCCCAGAAATCTAATGATATAGATCTCGGGTTGGCGTCAGAATGTAGCCAACATTGGACGCTATAATTTAACAGAATCTAATTGTTTTTTGAATTCTTCTTTATCAATTTTTGGCGTCAATTTTGTTTTTGAAAAGCTTGGAAGAAGACTCATTTTTCTCAATGACTAAGTATCAAAATAAAAAAAGAAACAGTTCTGTTAATATGTGAAGCATAATTTTCTCTTCAATTTAAAACCTTTCCGGACTTCCTAATATGTAAAATAGTTGAAAAATCTGAGAAAAATATATGAACAAAATTTGCAATTGAAAATCAATGTTTCCGTTCAGCAAAACAATAGATGAAACATATCGATTATAGTCAACTATATATTATTGACAATGGCGGATTAAACGAAGACTTGCATGTACTGGTACAAAGCCTAAACATTTGAATCTAGAACAGAAAGAAAACGTACGAGGCGTAGGCACTCATTCACAATCAACCCTACACATTCATATTCATATCTACATTCACCCGAACAATACCAGCTGTTTAAATAGACAAAAAATTAGAATAAGAAAGAAACAATTATAAATGTGAAAGAATGAAATCGAAGAGAGAGAAGAAATCGCCTACGTATATCAGATGGCATCTCTTCTGATGTAACACTGTCAAAATAATAATGTAACTAAATGGACTCTAGTAGGAAAAGAAATAAACGGTACGAGTCCACTTGTTCGAAGATTTTCAACGCTTGCTATTTCACATATTCCTGCTAGATTCTGTGCTATGAGGAACTTTAGAAAAAGTTCAAAAGGAAATAATAACTAACATTTTCGAAAAAATCAGTTTTCTTGAATCAAGCATTATCAGTAAATTGTGTATAAAACTGTGACAAAGCATCAGAATTTTAGTAAACAATACTGTTTTCAAAAATAGACAACTGAGGGTTATTCAATCATATAAAAATCTCAAAATTGATTTTTTTATGGGGCAAGAGTCCTAAATTCATAACTATCATGGACATTTATGCTGATGAAAAAATTCTTCAAAAGCTGTCCGAATTGATCAGCAGTATCCGGCTTGGATTCATTCTAAAATTAAGCGTTCAATTAATTTATAATCTGTAAATTATCCATTGTATTGATAACCTGTTAGAGTTCTACTATAAGAAAAATAGATTGGATTTTATACAATTTCTTCTTAGTATAACTTGTTGGATCGTGACTGGTACACAATTACTATTGTCAGAAGGTAATTTTTGAAACTTCGCTTGTAGAATTTTGTATTTGGCTATCTTCGAATTTTTCTTTAAACCGCTGATTGAAACTTGCCTTTAGTAACCTATTCTGCTTTACCATTGTATGAAAGTAATAAAAATGATGATAGAAAAGATGCATGTACAGATATATTTAAAAACATATAAAAAATTTAGAATACGTTTGATCGCTATTGATGCGTCAGAATGAATATATTTATTGACAAAAGCACTTTTTACATGTAGTAAAAGATAAGAACAAAATGTAATAAAAGACAAATAATGATATCTTTCTTTTGCCCATTTCATTGACATATAATAAAAAGTTTTAAAAAAGTATTCAAATGATTAAATGGAATAGAACATTATGTTTTATTATTCTATTATTTTCAATTTTTATTCTTTTATTTTTATTCTGTAATATTCAACGAACATTTTCAAATATAATTAATATTTATGATTGTAAATTATCACATATTGAAAGTGATGATTTTTTTTGTGAAATTGATAATGATTGGTATCGTCGAAAAAAATTATTTTATCTTCAACATAATCGTAATCGATATTTAAATTCAACATATATGTTTTTTCAAGATAATTATGAACCAACATTTTCTTGTCAATTTGAACAACGTTTAGGAATAAATGGTGATGGAGGAAAATGGATATGTGATGTTTATCGTTTAAAACAATTAAAATCTTGTTTAATTTATAGTCTTGGTTCAAATGGTGAATTTAGTTTTGAAAATGAAATAAAACATTATTTACCAAATTGTGATATACATACATTTGATATGAAAGAATTTAATTGTACAGATATGTGTACATTTCATAAAGTTAATATAGGTAGTGGATTTGATGGGACAAAAACATTACGAATGATTATGTCTGAATTAAATCATTCTCAACGTCATATTGATATACTTAAAATTGATGTTGAAGGTAGTGAATATGAATTCTTTGATAATCTATTTAATACAAGTGATCATTTAAGTCAAAATATACGACAGATACTTGTTGAAATACATCTATCAACAATAATTCGACAGGTGAACAATACAACAGTATATGATTTTGAAAAAATTCATCATCTATTTGATTTATTTCATAAAAATCATTTTGTTATATTTCATAAAGAAGTTAATTTATACAATCCACATCAAGCATTTGAATTTAGTTTCATAAGATTAAATGAAAAATTTTTTCAAATTAAGAACTATTCAACATCAATAGAACATTTACGATGACTTGTTTTTTTTTTTTTTTTTTTTTTTTAAAGAAATATTTCATGTTTCTTCGACAATTACGCAATCTCATTGTCGTTTCAGTGAACATTGACTTGTTAATGTTATTTCATTATTTGTTATGATCAATAAAGGATTTTTTGTTTGAAAATTGAAAGTTTTATTTCAATTCGAAATATTAAAATATGTTTAGGTTAATTCATGAAAAACTAATCTCATAGTACAGCAAATATTTGAGCTAGGTTACGTTCAAGATACATGCTAAGACTTTGTAGTAGGTTTTAGTTAGTTCTGTATTATAAAAGTATCAATTTGAAAGGTACACAATCGCAATTATTGTTTCTTCTTATGCTAATGTATAGCATACGTAAATAATTTTGTTTTGAACTGTTATATAGCTAAATCAATGCCCTTTTTTTCGACTTAAACAAAGTCAATGTAGTTTTGTGTATAGTTGCTCTCCATTGCTTTCACATCATGACTAAATAGTGTACACAGTAATAATATCCGATCTTGTCCATGTCTACGAAGTCCTAAAGGTTTAGTATTTTGTTGTTTCAATAGTTTGTGTAGAGTTCATATGTTTTTCTATAACAGATACAGCACATTTGTCAGCAGTCAGGTCAAACAGATGCGGCTGTTAACAACTGCATACAAAGATATAACACGACTAAGTCTAGTGATCGCATATTTCCGTGTCGTATATGGAAAAATACTGAATTTTCTCTCTTGGTATACGAAAGCTGTATACCGATTTCAATTTTGCATTGTTTTTCTCCGTATATAATCATATTGTTACGTATGTGGTCATAGAGATATACGATCATAATACTGAGCCGTATAATACGGTTATTTACAAGTATATATGAACTACATATTTGTCAACCTAGATAGTTATAGAAAGGATTATATCTTATGTTGGACGCTAACAGTTTTAAGACTCTTGTTCATTATGAAATGACGGTATGTATAATAACATTAGAGATTTGCTGGATTTTTTTCAGTTCCAATCCCGACTTAGAGAAACTAATTTAAAATTTATTTGTATTTATTCTAAAAGAATTCTTAAATATTCATTTTTTGATTTTTTTTTCAGTTGATGAATGTCACATTTGTTTTGATTGGTGTGATTTATAAAATAATTCATTCAAAATTATAGAATATTTAACTAGAATCTTTAGTTTTCCATTCTCGACAACTTTTTTTCTCATAGTCGTAACTTAATTGCGCACATATCTAGATAATACTTTATTTCAATTTTGCCAAAACAAAATACCTTCTATACAATCATATACTACTGACAGTTATTTTGATTTGGATGTTAAAGAAGTTTTTAAATAGTCAAGATTTAATTTTATCAATTTTTTTGGAAGATTTTGCACAATCTAAGAAATGAACATTTGAAACCGGCTACAATTCATTGTGAATATTTGACGTTTGTGCATAGTTGAAGAAAAAAAATCATATTGTGTAGTACAAACAGTTTATCAAATCAATCGAAAATTTGCTTTATAAATGATTATTTTGTGTTCTGAAATCATTTGATCATCATCTATATTCTTTAAAAAAAATATTAATAAATGAAATATCCTCCATCTATCGACATAGAGCGAACTCTGATAATCATTCTTTTTTTCCTGATTGGTCGATCAATCTATGCAAATCACAACTAGTTTATTTTTAATAATAATCTAACGGCATAATATTGTCTTATTTATTTTGTTTTCTCAGATTAAACAGTTATAATAAAAACGATTGTAGATTTTTATTTTTAATACATAGTGAAAAAATGCGTTTCTCATTACGCCGATTAGGTATGGAATGGGGGAGAATTGGTCATCAACGTGGCAAAGTAAATGCTTTATATTTTAACTAATGTTTTTTTTTGATTAAATTTTATATTCAGGTCGAATATACACTTTCAGCATATGAACAAAATCCATATGCTGGTGTTTTGGGTGATGTATCATATCGTTATTATTCTCGACTTTTAAAAACAATTATTACCATATGGGTACCTAATATGTTACTCGGATATTCAATGTATACATGGGCTAATTGGGAATATGATCGTTGTGCTCGAAAAATACCCAGTCAATTTGCTGATGAAAAACCACCTGGAGAAGGCGGCGATGAAGAACAATAGACAATTAATTATCCTATAAAATCCATTTCCTTGTCCTTTGCTTTGATGCATCCTGTATTCTTTTTTCTTTTGATAATCACGTAGTTTAAAATGGACTATGCCATTAATCTTTGTTTGTTTAAAATAAAGTAGAAAAAACAATCTAAAGTTTTTCTTTTTATGTTTTATTTAAACAGAAAATAGATTATTTCATATTTGTAGATTATTGTCAAGAAGGAAAAAAAAAGCATACAAAAATGTCAGGTATTCTTTTTCTTTTAAGACTATGTTGTAAACTATCTGAAAAAGAAATACGATAAGAATTGATTTTTTTCTTGTTTGCAATATATGAGACTCATTATATGTAAAGAATCGATTTTATCATTATTTAATTTTGAAGAATTAACGAATTTATTTCACGATATTAAAACTGAGTATTTTTAAGATAGTTTCGATTTTTATTTAGATGAGCAGCAAATTTGAATTTGACTTTTTTCATCATTGACAAATAATTCGTTATTGTTAAATTTCAATACTGTTTATATTAATTAGAATTTTATTTTTACTTTTATATTCAATCGATTGATAGCCACTTTCTTAATAATAATACTTTCTCTAACTTCATAAGAACTGATGAGTTCTGATCTAATGGATTTCTATGCAATGTATATATTTAGAAAATTGAAAATGCATTCAAAATCGATAACGAATGAGAATCATAATCTTCATTGTTATTCTACATCATTTTTTTTTCTCATTTATTTATCTATATTAGATTTTTATCAGCTGACTACTTCAACATCTGATTTTAAATCACGTTCAAATGATATATTTGATAAATTATCAAATCTCGAAAAACAACATGATGTACATTCGAAAACTAATACTCCTATATCTGTACCTGATGATGAAATACCATCATCATCAACTTATAAAAATCCAAATATTCCAAGTCATGCAATTACATTTAAAAAACGTCCCGCTGATGATACAACATTTACTCGTCCAATGAATAAATGGAAAAAATATGATTTAGATGATGTTAATGAACATCATTTAAGTAATATGGGTAATCAACATGCATTAAATGATTATCTTCGTACACGTGTTAAACCTTCAAAAACAAACGAAATTGAAGAAGAAATTCCATCAAAACCAATATTTCAACGTCCAATAAAAAAACAAATTCTAAAAAATGATGACGATGATGATAATGATCATGATCATTCTATATCTATACGTTTACCATTATCTTCAAATACAACTGGAACAAAGACTGAAAATGATAATAATAATGATGATGATGATGAAAGAATTGAATATAAATTAAAATCTATTCGTAAACAACGTCGTGGTGTTTTAAGTACAAATGAAAAAAAATCAATTAAACCTTCAATTGAACTTTTACAAGAAAAAGATAATGAAGATAATGATGATGACAAAGAAGAAGAAGAAGACGTTAATGATGAACTTGTCGAACCTTGATATTATTATTTTCTTTTATCACAGTTATATAATTTCGTTTTCAACATTGTCAAATAGCAGAAAAAAAAAATAATTCAGAAAATATTTTCTTTTTGTTTTCATATTTGATACATATCGACATAAACACACATATATACAATACGGTGTTTGCAAACTTTTATTTTCGACTAGAACAATGAAACACAAAAAAACAACACCCAAAAAACTTCATTTCTTTTCTTATTCTAATATCAAATTTTAATTATAAATAAAATTAAATCGACTCAATGCTTGTGGTAAACTTGAGATAATTGGTCCATAACCTGAGGCATTATCATATAATTCAAATAAAGGTGCAGCTACTAATTTATAATTACGTGGTACAGCAAACATAGATGATTCACCAAGTTGAACAAGATATAAACTAAATTAAAAAGAAATTATGTTAACAGAATTTCTCATAAGTTATATGATAAAATAAAAAAGTAATTCAGTCTGAGAAAGAATGAAAGATAAGTATACTGATGATCATTTCGATTTCATAGATGAGCTTTCGTCAATTAATGAAACAAGATATGAAGTCAATATTAGTTGTGGGTTAATAGGAGGTTTACATCCAGATCCTAGTTGCAATCTCGAAGTGGTGATTGCACCTCGCAATGACATTGTCTGTTGATTTTTATTTCACTTTCTACCAGAGAAAAGTAAGTCATGTTTCAAAATCCGATTGCTGTTCAAAGTTATCACGAAGTTGTAGAAAGTCGAACATTTTAGGGGTGGGAAAGTCTTACGACATTCACATTCTAATTTCGGCTCTTCATTTGATAACAAGAGACTTATACTTTAAATGAATAAGAACTTTGTTCAAATTTTTTTTTTCATGTGAATGTAGATTTATTCAAATAAAATTATTTTCTTGTATTTATCTAATTTATTCCTTGTGTCAGGTTCATCTTTCTTACAATAGAATTCAATTATATCTGTCACGTAAATCGAAACTTTTTTTTTGTTTTGTTTCCTTTACCGAATATGTTCTTTTGGTTTTGTTATATGAGCAGGAACATATGGATAACGTGGTGCTTCGAAATTTGGACGCCACCAATTACCAATAACATCTTCGATAAGCCAATTATTTTGTTGCATAGCATCTGGTCGACCTAATGTTTCATTTAATAAACGTTTAAGACCTTCCATTGAATCTTCACCTGGATTAAGTTCACCACCTAAAACAAAAATAATTCTTATTTGAATGTATTCTTTTTCTTTTTTTTTTACCAGGTAATTTAAAAAATGTTGTTCCTAATTGTAGAAGAAGTATATGAGGTAAATTATGTTCATGTACTAATAAAGCAGCTTCAACACTACGTCTCATGCCCATTGTTGTAAATTCTTCACGCATACGTTGAAATCGTGCTTGTACAGAACTATCACGTTCATATAATGGATCTTTTGTACCAAATGTATAATTAGTTAATGGATATGTTTGAATTGTTCGTTCTAATGCCATTGATTGAGTTGTTTGATCATTATTATGAATTGGTATTGGAGATTTAATTATAGAATTTATACTATTATTTTGATTTGATATAGATGATGGAATTACAGAAGTATTAATTGTACTAGAATTGGAATTTGTTGGAGATGATGTTATTGAATTAATATCTGTCCAATTAGTACGAACTAATTGTGTGGAATTATTTATTGCGTTTGCTATTGTAGACATATTTATCTATGAAATAAAAAAATTAAATTAAATAAAATTCATTGTAAATTTTGAACGAATATATTTCAGATGAACAAAGAGAGAAGAAAAAAAAAACAATCAACCAAATAAATAGATATAACCAATCATTAGTGGTATTTTTCTACACACCAAGATAAAACTAATCATGAGTGACATCTATAAAGATAATATTTATCTTCATATGTCAAAATTACAAAGTTTTTTTAAAAATAGGATTTAATATAGATCAAATGGAATTAGTATAATTTGTACTCATTTCTCTCTCTCTCTCTCTCTCTCTTACTCTATCCTATATGAGCGTATGTTGTATACCAAATATTGTCCATTTCAGAGTAAGGTCCTGAACAGACTGACTCATTCAAAGTGAATTAAAACTGAATTAACGAATAAATCATCTCAAAAAGACGATTTAAATCGAAATAGACCAATCACGTTACGTCATTTGTTTTATTTTTTTCAGTCTGTTCGGGGTCTAAAGTGGACATGAGCATTTTTTGAATAACTTTAAAAAAACAAGAGAGAAATAACTCAGGTTTTTAGTACTACCTACAGTTGATATTGCTCTGTCTTTCTACAAAGTCAATGAAAAATTCTAGTTACTTTTCTTCCTCTTAGATATATCATGAACTTTGAAAATGAGCTTAATCTATCGTAAAAACAATATATGCATTCTAAACTATAATATAATGGGAAGATAGTCCAGCTTCTCCTCTATCGATCTATGCAAGGTCGAGATCGATAACCGTTTATGTTCAAAAAAATATAAGCATTGTACTGAAGGCTACTTACCAAAAGTCTTCAAAATCTAAGCAGATAACTAAATATTTTCTTCTATAAGTTCTTAGTCGCTTTCAACTTCGTGACATGATTTATTCATTTTTGGAGTTTTTTTTCTACTAAGAACGTCATCAAAAATCATACATTGAATATTGAATCGATATTTTTGAAAAATTCTCTCGAGCCTTTATTTTATTGATGTTTTCTATAACAAAAATTTTAAGAATCTAAATTGATTAACTAAAAAGAGATTCGAAGATATTTACGTAGACTCATCATAAAAAGTCGTTAGTCATCAGCATCATCTGCACTATAAGAACTATAATCATCGTAATCATGATTATCTAGTTCTTCTTCAATTTCTTCAACATAAATGTTGTCTCATATTGTTTTCGATATGACTGATGTAATTGGTTGTTTCTCTCGAACCCAAGATGTATATCTATTCTTGTACCAATTTTGAAGACCTTTGATAAGTTGTCTTCAATACAATCTTTATATTTTTTGAATACAAACAGTTACAGTGCGGCGCCAAAAAAGCATGTACATTTTTGTTTTTACGCATGAATGAATAATAAGGATACTCTGAAAATTTTCTCTCATATCAGACTTTGTAGAGCTTTTTCCGCTGATCATTTTGGTAAAAAATTTTTTTGACTTTCATTGAGTAATGATGATGTTATAGTCAAAATACTAAACACTGTAGTATAAAGTAGGGAAAAAAGTTTAACAGACTTTTCGTATTTGGCTAATTTTTACGTTATTTCATAACATCTGATAGATGTTCTATATACCATTCGACGCAGAATTTAATGGGTTACATTTTATTAACAAGCACTTATATTTTTATTTTAGTTAATTAATTAATTATTAGTTAATAATAATTAGCAATTAATTAATAAAATTTTGATTTGTTTTTAAATTCTGACTCTTTCAAATGAAAGAGCATTAAAAACTGAACAAAACTCTATCATTACTATTTGAGAAACAACGAATTTAGTAAGGTTTTAATGTGATTTTTCGAGTATGTTCAATTGTAATTAGATATAGTATTCATTATTTTTAATAAATTCAACCATAAAAGGACATATGAGATGCGCGAAAACTGGCGCATTTTAAAGAACATCATTTGGTCTTTAGAATGACATATAGTGAAGATCCAAACAAGCATAGATATTTTTAATTTTTACATATAGACATACTCTGAAAATCACATTAAAACCTTAGTAAATCCGTTGTTTCTCAAATACTAATGATAGAGTTTTGTTCAGTTTTTAATGCTCTTTCATTTGAAAGAGTCAGAATTTAAAAACAAATCAAAATTTTATTAATTAATTGCTAATTATTATTAACTAATAATTAATTAATTAACTAAAATAAAAATATAAGTGCTTGTTAATAAAATGTAGCCCATTAAATTCTGCGTCGAATGGTATATAGAACATCTACCAGATGTTGTTAAATAACGTAAAAATTAGCCAAATACTAAAAGTGTGTTAAACTTTTTTCCCTACTTTATATTACAGTGTTTAGTATTTTGACTATAACATCATCATTACTAAATGAAAATCAAAAACATTTTTTAGCAAAATGATTAGCGGAAAAAGCTCTACAAAGTCTGATACAAGAGAAAATTTTCAGAGTATCCTTATTATTCGTTCATGCGTAAAAACAAAAATGTACATGCTTTTTTGGCGCCGCACTGTATCAATCTCGATCTTGCATGGATCGATAGAGGAGAAGCTGGGCTATCTTTCCATTATATTATGGTTGAGAACACATACATTGTTTTTACGATAGATTAAGCTCATTTTCAAAGTTTATGATATATTCAAGAAGAAAAGTGACTGGAAGTTTCCATCGACTTTGTAGAAAGATAGAGCAATGTCAACTGTAGATAGTGCTAAAAACTTGAGTTATTTCTCTCTTGTTGTTTTATTTAAAGTTATTTTAAAAAATGTTCACGTCCACTTTACTTTGAAATGGACAATAGTTAAAGTTTTACAATGATATCTTCTCAGTATTTAAAAGTGTTTTCACTGTGGTATTTAAAACATAAATCTTCAATAATTTTCGAAGAATAAAAAGACTTTCTTGAAAAAGAAATATTTAAAATGGAAGTTTCGATGGATTTGTCCTTCAAATTTCACAACTAGAGTTTAGAAATATTCACTAAGAAAAAAGATACTGCTTATTGTTTGAATGGTTTAGATGTGACTTTCATTCAGTTCTTTTTGCATCATAGATTGTAATAGAAAGATACACGTGGAAAGTCGATAAGGTTGCTGATTCGTTACTATCTAAAGCCTTTCAAGAGTTTCAGAAAATGGATTTCTGAATTCCAACAAACGCTTTATAAGGCAGTTATAATAACTTATGTAATGGTGATTCTGTAAACAGATTAAAGATTTTGAAGCCCGTAGAAACCCTGAGACTGTAATGTGCAGTGAAAATTCGGAAATAACTAAAAAAGTTTATCGAATCTTGACAGACATTAGACAAAAGCAGTCAAAGGTTCGATTAAATGTCGAGTTGAAAAACGTTCCATTCGTAAAATTTTCATTAAAAAAAAAAGAATCGACGTATTTTTTTCACGTTGAGAACCATTACATTCGTTGTTGATGCGAACCTAAGTATAGAAAAAATAGTTCACTTTTTTTTTCGTAATATCGTGAAGCATTGGTGTTTTTTTTATTGATATAGAAATTAAAATATGTTCGTTTGCTTTAAAGCATTTTGATTCTCAGAATTTTTTTAGAAAAATCTGTTAGAATGGTCTCCTGATCGCAGAAGCTTTCGACGTTCTTGTTGAATCCAACGTTTGAAAATCATAATGACTAAAATAATCGGTATTTTATTGATATAGAATAAACTGACGCACTGAATCGTCAGATTAACATCATTATTAACTTATTTGCAATTAGCGAATTTTATATTTTCAAGATTGTATTCTTCAACAGATTTTCATATCCAAAGCTAAGCTAAGATTGTAAAATTTATGTTAGATTATTTACAGAGTGAGAAGTAGTTCTAAATTAAATGATACACTGATACCATGAGGGAGTTACTAATAATTGAATATGTTATACTAAACGTATGCACGTTTTCAAATCGCTAGAAATCTTGTTGTCTGAAAGAAAACAACCATCAGAAAAAGCTATCAAAACATCAAACTTTTCTCTTCGACGAAGTTTTGAATACTAAGAATTTTTTTTTTGTCGAACACTTGAGAAAACAAAAAGAGGAATTTCTAAATTCTTGTTCGGCCGTTAAAAATGAACAATTTCTACAACATTAGTTATCTACAATACTTAAAAGATTTCCGAAAGTATTAAACACGTTTTTTGAGAGTAATATCAAACTATTCTAGAATATTCTTGAAGCATACAAATCGGTATTGTTGAAAAACTGGAAGTTCCTATAACTAAGAAGCTATTTTTTAAATATTTTACGAGGTTAAAACATCTTTATCAAACCATTGTAGTTTTGAGGAAGAGTTTCCAAAAAAAGTATAGGCTTCATAGAAAATGATGTTTATTTTTAGAGTATAAGCTCAATTTCATGTAGAACAAATGCTTTCTAATTTAGATCTTTGTATATCAAGGTTAGAAACAACTATTATTACATCAGTTCACTTAGTTGATCCTCCAAAGCTTCGTTATATATGTGTCAAAATTAAAACATACTCTACGCACGACTAAACTTTAGAATCAATTAAAAGTCATTAAACTAATGGTGTTAATGCTGCTTTTTTTATCTGCTAACTTGTCCAATGAGAATTATGACTTCATACGGGTATATAAGCTTTCTGTATGTGCAAAGAAGATGTGCAGAGAGAATCTAAAGAGCTCAACAAAACGACTGGTAAATTCATTAAAATAAAGTGATTATCTTGACTTAGTAAGTTCTAACAGGTGAACACTCAAAATGCAACAGGATCCAAAACAAAACATAAGCGACGACAATAATACACAAGAATTTATTATTATTTCAAAATTTTCTTCATCGATCAAATTCAATATTTTACTTGCACTTGAAATACCATCGGTGATTTGTTATCTTTTCATCATCATTTACATCTTTATTAACAAAAATCTTCGTTCAGCACCCAATAATTATATTCTCCTCATTATTTTATTGTTTGATTTCCTTCTTGTTGCAATTGATATTCCGTCGGCCCTGTATTTTCATCATCGAGGCAG